CCACAACCTCACCAGCATTTGTTATTTTCTGTCTTGTTGAACTTTGCTATTAGTGCTGGAGCAAGATGGTATCTCATTGTTGTTTGGATTTGCATCTCTCTAATAGCTAATGATCATGAGCATTTCTTCATATGTTTGTTGGCCACTTGAATATCCACTTTGGTGAAGTGTCTATTCATGTCTTGTGCTAAACACTCTTTCTTGAATGCCTACTTTTTTCCCTAGTGTTATTAGATCATCGGTCTCACAACTTATATGTGATACTGTGGTTTTAACACCTCTATTTAACAACTTGTTAAAATTAAATCTTTTAACATTCTGTTTAAGTAAGTATTGGATGTGGCAAAAGTCTTAGTGCAGTTTTAATAACTTCAGAAGCATAATACTACAAATATTCAAAACCATTTTAAAATTTAATTATCATGTGCAGTGAATTACTTAATATGGCTCCTCTAGCCATGGTCTTTGTGACTCCTACCAGATGATTGGGTGGGACTATGTAAATGTAAGATACTTGTGGCCCCACCAAGGGGATTGGATAGCTTGTTAATAATGGAAATAAGGTATATGGTGCCCTCATGGGAGTAGTATTATGCAAAGAAGGTATATAGAACCTTATTGTAGGGTTTAGTCAGTTTTGCAATTCTGTTAGGCTTAACATGGGCCATACCAGAAGTGGAAGGGGGGAATCTCACTGCCATTAAGAAAGAAGCAGGAGTGGAGTGCATCACTGGACCTGAGATGCTTGTGCTGGACCTCCTTGGCAGAGAGACAGCAGAGAAATGGTGGCAGCAGAGGCAGCCGAACCAAGACACTGGCATGAGACAGAGCAGTGGGCTTACAAAACCAGAGTGAGAAAGCTGAATGTCTTTGGGTGGGAGGCTTGCTGGTAGTGTGGTGCACCTACTGGAAGAACTAAAAGAGCTTTGTAACAGTTCCCGGAGCAGGGCAGAGATGAGGCCAAGAGGTTGAGGCCCAAAAAGAAGCCTGTTAGGCATGGCCGAGGGGAGGCTGTCCCAATTGTAGAATTGTATCCTGAACATTCCTGAACCTGAATTGTAACCTGTTACTGCCCTAATAAACCCCTTCATTGTGAGTATTGTCTATGAGTTCTTTATGGCCATTGCAAGGAATTATGGAACCCAGGAGAGAAGCAGAGAGTACTATAGGA